GCCAATGAAATGGTGCTGTCCTCATACAGGCTGGGTCTTCCCATCTGAATTAACACAAACAGGAAAATAAGCATGCCACCCACCAACACAGTCTTGACAGTTCCTCATTAAGACCCTCTTTACAGGTGAGCCTAAATTTTGTCAAGTTGACAATCAAAGCTAAGCATCATGTTTCCTGTCTCACATGCCACAAAATCACCCCGGAATTGTCTCAGCCCTTCGTGATGTCAACCCTCTCCTTTGCATTTAGTTTTACACTGTCTTAAGATGTGCTTTTTGACTGAGAATTGCTATCTCACAGCCTGCCTGAGAAATAAAATCATCCCTCCTCCACTCAACAGATAGATGCCCTCAAGCCCTCAGAAAAATGATAAGTGTTGTTTAAAATGAAAAATCCAATGTGCATGTGTCAAATACGTAACCTTTATTATACATTAATTGTTTCTTTCTGTAAAGTAACTTGAAAGTTGAAATTTCCTTTTCTTTATAATTACACAAATGGGAATATCCAAAATTTAATTAACAATTAAGTTGATCAGTTTAAAATTTTGAGAGCATACATCTGCATATAATTGCTCTCCATATACTTCTGTAAAATCTAAAGCCTATACACCCAAACATAAAAAACCCATTCATGCCAGCCTTAGTTACAAGTGCACATTTATTTGACTGTGGTGAGCGTGTTCTTTTATTGCCAAGAAAGTCAGCTTTGTTCCTTAATTGTTACAATAACCACCATTTAGGAAATTCAATTGCAACATCAATATGTTATGTGCATCTATAATTAGACTAGCATGGCCTGTCTGTCATAGGAACTGATGCAAAGTATTCGTATTTTATCTACTCCAGGCTTTCTAGGATTCTCAGTTTTTAAAGAGATGCACTTCAACCTAGTTAAGAGACTGAAAATACAGTCTTTGATTGCTATGTTCTGGATGCCCAGACTTCTCCCTGAGCATCCTGGGAAAGGGTACTCTTCTCCAAATACCAGCCTTCCTCTCAGTTCTAACACATCTGGTTCTCTTATCAGATCTGGAGGTGATGTCTGCCATGAAACTGGTCACCAGACACTTCTGGCTGCAGCCTCCTTGATCATCAGTGACTGATTCTCCAGTAGCCAATGCAAATGCTCTATAGGTGGCTTGCTGTAGGCAATGTCCTCATACCGTGTCACATCACAGAAAAGCCCAACACAGTGACTGAGCCTATGGTAGCAAACTAAGATTGGAACCCAGCCAAGGTGAGCTTCTCTTTCCCCCTCACTTGTCATGACCTCAATAGAAGGAATAATGACGCCTTGAACCAAATCATGCAAGTGTCTAGATCCTTTGTCCCTGCCCTATCTGCTATAATTCATAATTTAAAATGCTTAGAAAACAGCAGCATTTACAGGATAATGCCAAGTGTAAATATATATGTCATTTGTTAAACCCCCATGGATGACATGCTTTTTAAAATCATGTTCAATGTGAGTTAATAATATGGTCACCCTGTCTTAATACCACGAAATGGTTCTTTACAGTTACTCTTGATAAAAATATTTACATGTTAGAATTTTTAAAATACTGTGGGGCTTTTAAAGTTCTATTGTATTTTACATTATGATATTACCGTGAGATCTTGGGGACAAACAAAAAAGGAAAGGTTATGACTTAACAGTGATACATATGTGTGTCAAGTTAATAAGAAGTGGGTTGTGCTGATTAGTTTTGATTGTCAACTTGACACTACTCCATGGGAAGAGGGAACCTAACTCGAGAACGGCTCAGATCAGATTAGCCTGTGACAATGTCTGTAGAAGATGCCTGATTAATGACTAATAGGAAGGGCGTGGGCAGCACCCTTCCTAGGCAGGGTAGAGCCTGGCTGAGTTGTAAAGAAGGCTGGCTGAGCAAGCTGGAAAGCAAGCCAGTAGGCAGTGTTCCTCAATGGTTTCTGCTTCAGTTCTTGCTTGAGTTCCTGTCCTGTCTCAATAATGAACTATAATCTTGAAGTTTAAGCTGAAATAAACCCATCTGTCACTAAAAACATTCTTAATGCGATTGCATTATGGATAATTATGAGATAGTAAGGGGAACCTGAGAAGTTATGGGTCAGCTATGAGGTACAGGGGATACAGCGGGTGCTGCAAAGTCCATGTCCTTCCAGTTCCTCTTGCAGCTTGGCACTACCTCAGAGTGATAGCAGCCAACTCAATCCTAGTATTTATTGGTAAGGACTCCAGGTTCAGTGACCAGCAGAGACATCAGAATTCAGCCCTCATCCAATTAGTGGCATTGATTTCGTGTCTCAAGATTTCCTCTCACTCAGTAATAGGAACTTGAGCTCGCACTGGTTTGGAGAGGAAGGGGAAGTGAGAGGATACCTGCTGCATTCTCTTCCATCTTTCACAGCCATGCTGGGAGGGATGTTTTACCTCCTTCAATCAGTTCTTCAGAGAGCAAGATGCAAAGCTCTTGGCTAAATAGGAAGACATCAAAATGTGCTTCCCATCTGCCTCCACACTTACTTGATCTCCAGCAAGGTACTTACCCCATTATGCGATCCCCTCTCACCTCCAGAAGGTTGTGCACCAGTTCTTTCTAAATAATATCCTCTGCATGGTCTTTCACTGGGATGAGTGCATTAAGTACGAGATAGGATGAGAAGGCCTTCAGGAACCAAAGTCATAGAACTAAGTGATAGGTACTTGAATCAATGCTCTGAGACTCTCAAGTCATGACCCCTGAGGGTGCAGAAAGGGAAGCAGCTCCCTCTCATCAATGTACAGACTAACCTAAGGAAAGCATAATAAATATACTTAATTGTAATTTTACAAGGAGGACTGTCTTAGTTTCTGTTCTCATAGCTGTGACCAAATAGCTGGAAGTATGGAACTTAAGGGAGGGAAGGGTTATTGGCTTGAGAGGGTAGAGTCCATCATGTGGAGGCAGGGCAGAGTTTACGGCAACAGGAAGGAGAGGTGGGGTTACTCCAAAATCCAATTCACAAATATTTAGACAAATATAAGGGCTTTGCTATCCACTGGTATATTCCTCATGAGCACAATTCATAAGATACTTTATCCATATGTTCCATTTTCAGCCTGTGACAGGCACTTGTGGAATGATTAACCCATACTGCAGAGTTATAGAATATTAAGTGACAGCCAGACATAAAAGTAACGAGAGACGGGAGTGAGACAAGCCCGTCTCTAAAAGACACATTTTTACACAGGTAATCAATTTATCAGGACACTCGACAAATTCCAGCAAGAGACTTTCCAAAGTTAATTTAAAACCAATTAGAGGATACACATCAAGCAAGACTCTGAGGAATTTATCTATTATTAATGGTACCTCCCCTCAACTATAAAGTCCTAATAAACAGTCTATAAATCCAGGAGCTACAAAAACAATGTTCAGAGAGTGAAATGTACAGAAAGCAGCAGCCCAAGAATGCCACCGGCCCAGAGGAGCTGCCTGGTGCCCCTCTCCAGGGCAGTCACAAAGAGTTCTCCTCAGTGATGTGACACTCTGGTGGACTGTACCTCTGTCACCAACAACTTCAAACAGGAGTGGACTTTGCACCAACACTGATGTGCCTCACGCTTGCCCCATCCCATGGAAATGACTGAAAACAGTTTCACTACCTCGGCTTCACCTTATTGAGGGGCTTTCCCCCTTCTGTACCTCAGGAAACAAAACTGAAAATAACTCTGGGGATTTGGATCAGACCACAGTCTCCATGTGAACATGAGCACCTAAGTTAGAGTCCTGAGACTCTCCATGTCTGAAGGCAGACGGACTGTGTGAAAGGTGCTTTTGTTTGTTTGTTTGTTTGTTTTTGTTTTTGTTTTTGTTTTGAGACAGGTTTTTTCTGTATAGTTTTGGTGCCTGTCCTAGATCTCAGTCTATAGACCAGGCTGGCCTTGAACTCACAGAGATCCGCCTGGCTCTGCCTCCCAAATGCTAGGATTAAAGGCATGCGCCACTGCCGCCCGGCTGTGAAAGGTGCTTTATGAACACAATAGGACCGTGGTACATGAGCACTCACAGAAGCTGTGGCCTGCACATGATCAAGCCATGGTGCTCAGTGGGGCTTCAAAAGGAGTACATGAAGTTAGAGTGGATCCAGTCAAAACATATACGTGTAGGAAATTCTCAAATAAATAAGTCAGTTTGGTGGCATGTGCTTGTGATCCCAGCACTGGAGAGACAGAAATAAGTGGATCCTGGGACTCCTGGTCAGTCAGCCTACTGTACATGGTGAGCTCTCTAGATCAGTGAGAGACTTCATCTCACAATCAAAGAAAATTGTCCAAGTTTGTCTCCTGGCTTACACACACACACACACACACACACACACACACACACACACACACACACATGCACACACCTTCTAGCCTAGTGTACTCTTCCTAGCTGTCAATATTTAGCCACCCTCACCTGAGACACTAACAGGCTACGAAGATTTAAAAATTCAGTGATTGCAGGATTTAAATGGTTTTAACCCCTTTAAATGTGGAAGCATGTTAAACGCCATTATCTCTGCAGCCACCGCAAATGTTGAAATTCAACTTGGCCTTTTTTTTTCTTAGTTCTAGGTCTAAGGATGACAGTTATAAAGAGACAAATGCTTTTCTCAAGTTCTATAAAGAGCTGTCCCCAACCAGATGACCTACAGGAAATAAAGCCGGTCATTTCTCCAGCTGGTGGCCACTGATCAGAGCATCTGAACGGAAAGATATGTATGTTAAGCTTCAAACCACCAGGAAAACAGGTAATTGCTTCTTCGACACCATAGGAAGCCAGCCATTTGATGGTTTGATGTGGGAGGGAGTAAAAGAGTTTAGACATGTGTCAGAAGTATCTAAGAATAGAAAAACAGAAAATGTTGTCAGGGACCCAAAAGATCTCAGTGGGACAGAACAGGTAAATGGAATGACTCGGAAGCCATCTTGCTCCTACTGCAAAACAGTTGCCATGGATACTCTCCCAGGTAACTCTCTCAGGTCTTACCTCTTGGGTCCTCACATTTATGTATCCATAGTGAGTTCGAAGAGGCTGCCTGAATGTGTAGGACAATGGGATCCATTTTGTTTCAGGTTGTCCAAAGCAGTTCAGCAGCAAAGGGAAATTCATGTCATTGACAAGGCGCATGGCTAGCAGCAAGAGGCACAGGGCTATGAAGCTCACCACAAGCACAGACTTCCTCTGCAAAACAGTGAGAAGAAAGCAAAAGAATAATGAATGACCTTCAACCAGCAACAGTCACAGGGGTGGGAAGGGGAGGGAGGTGGGATAGAGGTGGTGAGGGCAGGGTGGGTGGAGGTGGGTATTCCTTTCTCTCTCTAAGGAATCAAAGGATTCTCTTTTAGGATATTTCAGTTGGAGCAGAGAAAAAGCCGTCATTTGGCGAGCAGGTGGCAGAAACCTTTCTTACCCTCTCCTGGCCTGCTTTCCTCTTCCTTACGGTTATCTTTGTCTACTCCTTTTACTTGAAGAACTCAGACCCGACATTTCCAACCACAGGAGACCTTTCTTGATTCCTCCGCTCCCTCCCACCACCATCCTTCCAACAGCAGCCCCCCAGCCCCAGCAGAGGTGAAGTCTCACCGCCCCCTTTAACTAAAGCAGCGGTTCTCAACCTTCCTAATGCTGCAGTCTTTTAGGACAGTTCCTCATGTTGCGGTGACCTCCAACCGTAACATTATTTTTATCGCTGCTTCATAACTGTAATTTTGCTACTATTCTGAATCATAATGTAAATATCTGATATGCAACCCCCAGAGGGGTCGGTTGACCCTCAAAGGGGTCATGACCCACAGGTTGAGAACTGGTGCCCTAAAGGCATCTTTACTGTACTTTTCCCACAGTGCAATTATGGCAATTTCTTTTTCTCGAACATGCTTCTCAGATCCTGGGGCCATTGGATCTGCTTGTCACAGGGTTTTCTCTGTGTCCATACCCACTGCATAGAACTGTAGCTTAAACCACACAGGCCATCCAGCAAATGCTTGAGGGGAATGCACGGCTTTCACTGACCCTGCTTCATCCCCACCTCACACTTCCGAGTCTGTACCTAGCAGTTTCTATCAACAGAAAACTTCACCTGTGCACACACTGCGAAGCTGAAATGTTAAGCACCAGAAGAGGGACCATTGCACAGCAAACTGCCTAAGAACATTCCCATGAATGTCCTGCGAGGGAAGCAAGCCAGAGTCACCGCATCGGGTTGGAATGAGAGAAAGCAGTGATACATACTGGAAAGGGAGCTTGATAAAATGCATGTTTTGATTGGTAGGGACGTGTGAGCAGATCTTTCTACATGGAAGAAACAGTCAAGGAAACAAGAAAGCATGGGTTATCTGTAGGAACCAATCAGTCTCTCTTAGCGTGTGCAGAATGCAGAAGGAAAGTCGCAAGCACACGTGGTAACTATGGTGGGCTGCCCTGGGTACCACGCTAAGATGTGTGCCCTGAGTCTGGGAGATGGCAGAAGGCCAAAGTGGACTTTTGGTTGATATTCACTTGTTGGATTTTTCTAAAGATGAAAGCTACGTCGTAACCCAACACAGTGAATGGGACTTTGGAATAGGGAGGAGTAAGGGGGTTAGAAATGGGTAGGAGGCTGGTCTTCTGGTACGGGTCTTGTAAACCAAGGATGGAAACTGGAGCAGTGGGGACAAGTAGTGAGTGAGACTCAAGTTCCTCAGTTTAGGTGGAAGAGACTGAAACCTATTAGACAGGACGTTAGTGGCAGACACAAAACTCAGAGCTGACCTTGGGCCTAGATAGCAGCATCGCTACAGGGAATCCTGTAAGTCACCCCGGCAGCAATAATTCATCCAGGGAGCCAGATGGTAAAGCACCTTGGCTCTCTAGGTGCTCCTTTCCAGTGACCAGAAGTTCAGCAGTCATGGAGTCAGAAAGAAAGTCAAAGCTAGAGCAGGAACAGAGAACAGAACTGAGGACAGACCTTAGGAACAGCTATTGTGAGGCGCCCCTGCTGACCCCAGACTGGGCTTGACCGCTGAGTTGCTGAGAATGAGTGGCCTTCCACTGCCGCCGTCGCTGCCGGGTGTGGGGCCTGTTACTTCCTGGTGTAATTACCTCCAGAACTTCTAAAGGGAGAAAAGAAACCTCAAGACAGCCATGCTCTGTCCTGGGTCCCAGAGTCAGCCGGGCAGCAGGGCCAGCATCCGGAGCCGCCACCACTTCTCAATTCCTGCTCAGCTCCTGTAATTTGTAAAACCCACACTCCTCTGTCTAGCCAGCCTAATTTTCTAATCACCCGAGAGTCCCCTGAGCTCTGCCTCCTCAGAACCCTTTATCTCCCCACCAACCACCACAGCCTTACCTCATTTAACCTTCTAATCATGAAGAAACGTTTTAATTTGCTCTTCTGTGGAATCATTATGTCCACAACCCTGCAATGTGTCAAGGTAACAGCGTAAATGAGGTGATGGATCTTAACAAGTTTAAAGGGGCATGAACCAGAAGAGACAGCTAAATAAAACCAAAGAGACCAGTCGCCCATTAAGTAAGAGGGAAGAACACTTCTCTCTGTCATCATCCAAACCAGCAGCTGCTCCGAAGGGCCCCCCCAGATATGATCTGTGCTCTTGTCTACTCCTGAACCCAGCAAGGCTCTCTGCTCCTCTCAGCTGCTGAACTTGCATCACTGGGGGTCTTAGGACAAGGGCATAGAGGGCCCCTCCTAACCCACCACTAGCAACATATACTTAACGCACACAGGGGACAAAAGCAAACCAACCACTTTTGAGAGAAACTTCAAAACAGAGTGAAGTCACAGCAGCAAAAGCCTGTGTCCCTGGAAGTCATGTCTGTCTCCTGGGGTTATCAAAGGAAAGCTACAATAAGCAAAGAGGCGGGTGGGCGACTGGGTGGGAAGCAGGCACCTCCCCTCTGTCCTGCTCCTGGAACTGTATTCACAGGGGCCAGGGGTATTCTTTTCATAGCTCAGACCTCCAGCCCCACTCTGCCACGTTACGGTGGGTGACCAGGTTCTTCTTCCCTGTCTAATGGAATGCTACTCCTGTTTGGCATGAAAGTAACTCACAGTGTCGACACAAAGCACCCTGAAACTTCACTAGAGAAGGTCTAACTTCAAGCTCTGCAAGCAAGGACAACAGGACCTGACACAAATGTGTGTTCCCTAGCAGTCACCTCTGTCACACCATGGCCACAGTGAAGACCATGGCTTAGGCACTCCAGCACACACACAGCTATGTGCAGCGAGCACACACGTATATCTGCAGGAAATACAAGGGTTATGGAGAAGTGGACTGAGCACCAACACGAGGCACATAAATGTAGCCATGCCTTGGAGTTCAGACCCAGTGTAGACTAGGAAAGGTTCTGAGAAAGAAAACGAAATCAACCAGACAGAACAGGCTCCAAAGAGTCACAAGAGCCGGCAAGAAAAGGGGATAATGAAACGTGTCAAATGGGGTTTAGGGAGGCTGCATGGGTGACTGAGGAGCCCAGAGGAAGGGACATCTACTGTTCTTAAGAGGGACAGACAACATTCAAATAGAGTCCCCATGGCTGCGGGAGAGTGGGCAACACGAAGGGCATTCCCGTCACAGGGAAGAGCAATTGGACAGGCCTTTGTTTTATCAGAAATCTTCAGGACATTTGCTAAGAAGACTGCTATGTATACCATGATCAGTAGATTATGCTAAACAGATCATAAACCAATTTATTCTGCGATTGCCATGTGCTGGTCATCATGTTGAGTCAAGCCACACTCAGAAGGTCAGTTTCACAGACAGGTGTGGCAGAAGCAGTCAGAACAACCTTAAGATAAAACAACTGCCAATTAGAGTTGAGAAAACAAAAGTGAGTACTTGTCAATGGTGTGAAAGGCTTGGTTCAACAGATGTTTCATGAGGCACAAAACAAACAAAACATAAAAACTACCATTCCTCTAAGGCCGGGTACATGGACATTAAATGATACAGTGCGTGGAGAACTCGAGCACAGTCTGGCAACATGAACTCTTTAAAAGTGAAAGGTCTTATTAGGTTGTAACTGTCAGTTGTTAAAATCTTTTATGTGTATATGTGACTGTGTATGTGGGCATGCACTCAGAAGCCAGAGGTCACACAATGTGATTTTATGTGTGTGTGCGTGCCCACACACTCATATGCACATACACACAGAAGCCAGAGGTCATATAGTGTGATTGTGTATGGTAATACACTCAGAAGTCAGAGGTCACACAGTGTGATTGTGTGCACATGCACTCAGAAGTCAGAAATCACACAGTGTGACTGTGTATGAGCACGTACACAAGGAAGAAGCCAGAGGTCACACAGTGTGACTGTGTATGTGCACATGCATGAGGAAGGAGGAAGCCAGAGGTCACAGTGTGACTGTGTATGTGCACATGCTTTCAGAAGCCAGAGGTCACACAGTGTTTGTGTATGTGCACATGCACGAGGAAGGAGGAAGCCAGAGGTCACACAGGACATCTTACCTAATCACTCTCCACTCTCACTGAATGCAGAGCTTACTGATTCCGCTCAGCTTGCTAGCCACAAGCCCCAGAGTCCTCCCATCTCTGCAGACTCTCCCCAGTACTGGTGTTAGAGGTTCATGCTGAGCCACTTTGCTTTTTACATGGCTTCTGGGGACAAAAGTCAGGTGTCCATGCTTGTAGCAAGCACTTTACCAACAGACTGAATCTACCAGCTCCTACTGGATTCTCTTGATGGATATGAATTAGCTAGTGGATAAGCACTCATTAGGCCAAGTGAAATGCATGATAAAGACTAGAGAAAGCTTTCTCCAATATTCCAAGCAGCTGCAAACCCTTGAATTACTTGGGGCAATTTATCCTTACAAGCTCAAGAGGATGCCACTGTGCCCAAGAAGATCTGATGAATTGCTTTAGGGAAAGTTTATTCCTTCTTTGTTCCTCATTTGGGGGAAGTCTGAAGGGGCCCAAAGCAGCTGAGACATTTAGAATTTAATCCCCTGTGTACTTCAAAAATCTACATCAGAAAATGTGACATTGCAGTTGCTCGTGCTCGCTCTCTCTCTCTCTCTCTCTCTCTCTCTCGATCGCTCGCTCGCTCGCTGGAATATAATTTATCAGACTTTACAGCAGAAATGCCTATTTCAAAATAGACTCCACGGAGAGTTCATGATGCGGAGGGAAAGAACACAGTCCCAGAGGTCTGTGC